CAACGATAGCTATGTTACACCTCAGAACTTAGGATTAGTGACGTCATAAAGTATTAAGCTATATAGGAATAAACTTATACAATATGTAATATGTTTCCTAGAAAGGCAATAGAGAGAGATATGTATACAGTATGTGTTATAACGATAGTAATAAGGTTTTTCACTGTTAAAATAAATAAGATTAATTTATGTCAAAGATTTCCATATTCAAATCAATTATAATTCTGTCTTTCTGAGTATCTGAAAATTTCTGTATGCATCGTTCCGATTGGAACCACGGTGGTTGAGTGAGCTAGACGCTTGCTCGCTAACCCGAAGGTCCAGGTCGATAATACCTTTGGAATTTTCAACCCAGTTTCTTAATGTCAGTGATACAGGTCGGATGTGAAAATAAACCGTGTGCAGTGGTTTAGCGAGGACTTCAGTGACAGGGGCCACCCGAGCTGTCCATTTTCTAATCTGGCAAGCGGCGGTTCATTTTCGACAGTTGGAAATCAAAAAAGAGTAGGGTAATACCGCTGTTCCTACAAAATTCCCCAATTGCACACATCATGACTTTGTCCATCTTTATTAGCCCAATTAGTTGCAGAAGAGTAGGACATAAAAAACAACAACGTTTGTGGTTCTTAACTTTTAAGAATAATTTAAATACTTAGATAATAGAAGCGTGTTTCAATAATAATTTAGTTTAATAGATATATCGTCTTATATAGAGATTCTATTCTTTAGTCATGGTACCTGGTAAGTCCAACTGATGAAAAAATACAGTTGTTGACCAAATTTGATTCTTTAAATTCTAAGAGGTAGTATCCTTTTAAATGGCCATGGCGTCATAATCTGTTTTGGTGGAATATAGGAATCACTGGCGTCAGACAGTAGGTCGGAATGGTCAAATAGAAGCTGTAAATGTTCCGATACACAAACAACTACATGTAGTAGAAAACCTTAAATGTTACGTCATAAATATGTTATAAATGATTATCGATATATAGAAAACCATTGAAGCTTGTTGTGTTCAAATAAAAAATAGATTCTTTTGATTTACTTAAAATAGGCAGATATCATCTTTTGATGTATAAATTCCTGTCACAAACAAGGCAAGTGTCACGTCAAATAAAACATATGCTGTTTGTCTATAGCAGAGCATCGTAGTTCAGTCGAATATAACCATGTTCCAGAGAATAGCTAGGCAATTTGCTTCTGAAATCAATTTGTGAATAACATGATATGAATTTGCCAACTTTCATAACTTTTAGCTTTATTCTATATATGCGACAAAAACACATTAGACTTTTATGATACTAATCAAGATCGAAGTGTTTTTCGAAACGGACCTCCTCAGTTTCAAATCTAGACATAAGTGAGTTAATGTTGAAGACTATTGAAAGAGCTGGTAATAATTAAGACACATTTAGTTTTGGCATATGTTGACCAATTTTCGTTCTTTTAGATGTTAACGGTTCATCACCCGTTGGACCAATCGTACCTTAGTTTCTTAAATGGGAATTTGTTCAGCTAATCTATTCAGTAAAAGTGTTCACAGACCACCTTCGAAATTTGAGCCTTCATATCTATGTGTGTCCATATTTATCCGCGTTTGAAAGTTAAAATGACGACTCGTCTTTTCTCGTCTGCCACATATAGAAAAATAAAGTAATATATCTAGTTTGAGGTCGCCTGTTTGAATGGATTATCTGATTTTTGTGCAGTTCTAGTACTTCTGAAGACTATTTACATATATTAAAAATCAAATCAACTCCCTCAAATAGCAAACCATGACCTTTACAGAATTGAACGAACTACCTTGAGTCAGAAATACACATCTTTTGAGCATTTAATGTAAGCCATCAAAATTGCTTAATGTTTACCGATTAGTTTGCAGATTAGTCTATGGATTACTTTATAGTTTTAAAATTCTCATCGATTTTGTGCACGAAAATAAAGGTTAATCCCTGTGATTCCAGCAGTACAACATTAATTCAGTACTGGCGTTTTACGGGGGGCGCAGGCGGCTGGACTGGCTATGCCCCCTCCCCCTACTTTCAATTTTTTTTATCATTTTGCGTAGTGAAAAAATGCCCCACCCACCTCCCTCCGTCACCTAATGCCTCCTAGAGACGCCATTGAATTACAGGTTGTATGTCCTCAAATCAGTGACAGTCTGAAAAAATGAAATAATCCATGGGTTTATTGCGTATGATGTATTATTTACCATTGATTTTGGCCATATTTTATTCCCAATGACAACTATCAATTAGTTTTTGCATTATAAAAAAAATATGTTTTTGTTTCTGCATAGACGCTGATCGATAGCTTAATTCTAGCGGTCTGACAACAAAAAATAATGGAATGCAATTTATATAACATCCTCCACTCATTTTAGCTCGGATAACATTATCCTTCCATCTTATATAAGACAAAATTGTCCTTCCATCTCATATCAGATAACATCCATCTTACATCTCAGATCAGATAACATCCTCTTCCCATCCCAGATCAGATAACATCCTACTTCCTTCTCAGATCTGATAACATCTATCTTACATCTCAGATAAGATAACATCCTTCTTACATCTCAGATAAAATAACATCCTTCTTACATCTCAGATCAGATATCATTCTCTTCCCTTTTCAGATAACACCCGTCTTCCATATAAGATTATATAACATCCTCCACTCATCTTGATAAGACAACATTGTCCTTACATCTCAGATCAGATAACATCCTTCTTCCATCTCAGATCAGATAACATCCTCTTCCCATCTCAGATCAGATACGTCCTCTTCACACCTCATATCAGATAACATCTAACTTCAATCTCAGATAAGATAACGTCCTCTCCCCATCTCAGATCAGATACGTCCTTTTCACATCTCATATCAGATAACATCTATCTTACATCTCACATCAGATAGCACCCTTCTTCAGACTTCAGACTGTACACTGAAGATCGTATGAGTTGCAGCCCCGGTTACAATGATTGAATGGAACTGAATTCTTTTACATTTCAGGTATTTTCGGTGCAGTGCAATTGGATGGAAATAAAAACTTTGGGAGTCTACTGAGACAGAAAAGAGCAGTAAGTATAATTTATATATTGCTTTTAGACATTCCCAAATAAAGAAACACACAAAGAATTATTGTCTACAATAATAAAACTGTGTATTAATGAACTTCTGTTTAAGAATACTGTTAATCATGGCAAAGCCACGCCCAATATCATTGTCAAACATGGCAAGGCAAGATAGAATATCAGTGTCAAATATATCATGTCAAGGCGAGGCAAAATATTAGTGTCAAATATAACATGACATGGTAAAATATCAGTGTCAAATATAACATGACATGGTAAAATATCAGTGTCAAATATAACATGACATGGTAAAATATCAGTGTCAAATATAACATGACATGGTAAAATATCAGTGTCAAATATGACAAGGCAAGGTCAAATACCACAAGGCAAGGATAAATATAAGTGTCAGATAAGTGTCACATATGACATGGCAAGATCAAATACCAATTCAAGGCAAAGTCAAATAACAGTGTCGTCTTTTTAACTTTCAAACGCGGATAAATCTAGACACACAAGACTTGAAGGCTCATATTTCGACGATGAGCTGTGAATATTATTAAATTATTCCTGTTTCTGAGACTAAGTTACGATTGGTCAAAAAAAAAAAAATGAAAATGGCGCATCTACCCCTTTAATAATAGAAAGAATCTTTTTTTTAATAACTTGGGCTAAGATTGATACTATTCTATTTTATTTAATCTGACGATGTAAACTTGCTTTTCCTTTAAATTTCCTTTTTTAGTCTAATTATGATTTAGTTGATAACCATACAGTATGTTTAAAGAAATCAGACCAAGTTACAGAATCAGGTGAGCACTTGATGATGGATTCCAAATATTATGTTCTTCAGCCTAGGGTTTGTATCTTTATCGCGGAAAAACAAATTTCTGCTTTTATGCTTTGACAAAAACTGAAACCAAAACAAATGTCCAATTATACAGAAGACACCGCATATAAAGGGGAAAAATTCTGTCCGAGCTGTAGGTTTAGTTCTTTTGTAAAAGTCTATAGAGACAGAAGCCCTGGCTAAACTGAGTGAACCAGGCTTAAACAAGCTGAAATTAACGTCCTACTTCTGTGATTCTGATTTGATGGTTTGTTTACCTTAAATGAACAACACCATGCAGTATGCAATCAGGAAAATTTTGCTATATATAGCACAGCCTATAAGCATAAGGACTTCTGAACGACCATATCATTTTCTAATATCAGCTGCTCTGATCTACATCAGAGATTTGGAAATCTAGAAACAACCCCAATCTTCTGTATAGAAGATATAGAATTTGATTATATCAATTTATGTTTAGGTGTAACGGAGGCCGACAAGACAATGATTGTTAACTTACACAACAATTTAAGAGCCAAAGTAAAACCTACTGCTAGCAACATGTTAAAAATGGTAAGAGGAAAGACAATTATCTTCGACTTCGTTTGAGAAAGATTTCAATACGTGCATGTTATGTTAAAGTCTACTTTGTTTTGAAGAAATTACAAGACATTGCGAACTTCGTCTTAAACCTTGACTGCAAAAGTCACCCTTCTTTTGTTTGCAAATGCATTTGATTGTATTGTGCGCAAGTTAATACAGCTAATCAGAGGCTTCGACAGAAAGTCTGTGAGGACTCTGATTAGCTGTATACGCTAGTGTACAATCCAATCAAATTGCTGCATTCTATGACGTTATCTTCACAATGTCATGAAATTACGAATTCGTCTTAAACCTTGACTGATAACTACCTTTCTAGTGTCACAAACGTTTGTAAATGTAGCCATTTGATTGAATTGTAAGTTTGTAAACAATATTGCATATTGTTTACAGTTATTCTGTCGAGGGCTCTGATTAGCTGTATTCGCTAGTGTACGACCAAACCGCTGCATTCCGTGACACAAGAAATGTGACTATTGCGGTCAAGGTGCAAGGTGGGTTCGTAATAGCTGAACATTGTGAAGATGAGGGTTCAATAGCCGTTGAACATTGTTTTGGAATAGATCTATAGGTCTATATTTACTGATCAGATTTTGTTGAAAAGATCTGTTCAATTTTTAGAAATGGAATAATGAAATTGCCAATATAGCACAGAAATGGGCTGAAAACTGTGATTTTCACCATGATTCTCGGGATGCCAGAAATATTCCTGGTAATCACTGTCTTTTTTTTAAACTCTTATTGTCTACCATCTGTGGAAAAAACACACAAATATTTTCAACAATGGTAAACAACTGCCGGCATCAGGGAAAATCTGATCAATCATTGGATTAAGTCGAAACGGAGTACATCAATGACGGGAAATTTCAATTACTGCCAGTTGCCCCATTTTATCTGGTCTAAGCAATCTGACTATTCACTTAAACTTACTAGTTTTAGAGAATTCATTAATCCGCGATCCGATGGGATGACTCCAGTGACATTTCTCTGAATCATTAGGTAGAGGGATCGAGATGTCAAAGGGGGCTCATAGCTACAATAATTTTAGAATTTAATTCAATTTGAAACTTGCCCCTCCAGCCTCCCTTTTCTGTAGGAACACCAATCGATGATGCGAAACGCCTGTCAATCTGAATGGATAAAAATCATTTATATTTGAGGACGATACGCCGTTGGTCAGAATATAGCGACTGATGAAGTAAGTTTCGAGGCTGCTATAAATCTGTGGCTTGGTGAAAAAGAATATTTTACATACGGTTCAATGGAAACCATTTTACTGACAATTGCACATAATAGACAGGTAAGAAATTCACGTCATCCTTAACACTGGGTTAGGTTTCGGGGAAGGGAGAGTTTGATTCTCCCAAATGTACAGGCCTAGGGTGGAGCAGACACTTAATTAGAAATTGGGATTAAGGGTCTTGATATTGGGTTTTCTTCTGTTCTGATTCTGATCTGAAATTAGAAAAAATAACTCGCCCAGTGGGCGAGAAGTATAGTATCTGTAATGTACTGATTGTTTTTAGTTTACTATGAACAATATTATCATTTAAGTTCTTATTTTTTGAATATGCAACTATCATTTTCAGCTTATAGACACAGGGGAATTTCTCTCGAAGGCTCTTATAATGGGCATGAACTATCTTGCTTGCTCGATTGCTGGCTGTATTGAACGGGACAACAAAGGGTGCTATGCATACATTATGGTGAATATTTAGTCCTATAGGTCTTGCTGTATTCAATGTCTCAATCCAATGGGCTTCCCTAGATTGACGGAATTTGGTAGTTTCATCTTCGGGCAAGTCAATTTCTATACGCTCAATTGGGATTAGGGTGAGATCGTCTATTGAATGGTCGTCGAGGTTGAAATGATTAGAAACAGGCTTGTCTTTCTTTAATTTGATGTCTGACCTATGAGCATTAAAACGAGTTCGTAAATTATTCTTAGTGTCTCCTACATATTGTTTGGGACATTTCTTGCATGAAATTAAATATGTTAGATGTTCCTGGATCGGGTACCTTTTATTCGTAGAGTTGCTTACAAAAATAATGAGTTTCTGATATAAAGGGACATGTTTTGCATCTACTGGACAAACATGGAGCACTTCTTAAACCTGGGGGTGCTTCGGCATAAAGCCTGTTTTTAGCTGCTATCTGCAGTGCTAAGGTGGAATTTTTTATGTTTCGTAAAAATCGTTTAGAGTACCCACGCTCTTACAGTTTTGAGAAAACAATCGTACAGACTTGGTTGAAATCAGAAGATCTTGTGCAAATTCGTTGAAATTGTAAAACTTGTGACTTAATTATACCAGAAAAGGTATGTTTTGGTTGAAAGGAGCTCTTGTGCAAGAGTTGATGAGTATCAGTTTCTTTGAAATACACTTTAATATCCAGTTTATTTGTTTCTGCTATGGAATGTCCCTTAAAGCAAGTGGTATCGAGAAAGTCTATGCTTTTGTCACTCACGTTTGCGGTAAGTTTGATAGAAGGATGGTGGTTGTCGAGAATTTAAAAGAATTCCTAAAACTGTTCGATAGAATAAGTCCAAACCATAAAAATGTCATCCAAAAAGCGTCCGTAAAAAAGTGGGTCAAATGGACAGAGGGGCAACACCCCACGTTCCCACTCTGCCATGAAAGGGTTTGCGTACGAAGGGGCGAATCGTTTGCCCATAGCTGTCCCTGAAGTTTGTAAATGTGTTTTACCATTAAATGTGAAATCGTTTCGACTAAGACAAATCTCTGAGGCTGTAGAATTCCATTCGGGTCTGTTTGGATCTGAGTTTCTATTTAAAGCTTTACGTTTGCCGTTAAACCAGTAGTGTTATGATATTGGTATACATAGAAGAAACGTCGATAGAAATTAAAATAGCATTAGAGGGAACTCGAAGATTTTTTATTTTATTGACAAAATCGGTTGTGTCTTTAAGGTTGACATGCTAGAGGTAGTAAGAAATGATCAATGTATTCTGACACTGCATGCGACTCACTAGCACAGTCAGATATAATCGGGCGGCCTTTAGGGATTTTATTCGAGATAAACCAGCCCTTGATTCTTATGGATTTTAGGCAAAGTGTACAAATGTCTCTCGCGACAATAAGGTTTGGCAGACAGATAGTCATATTGTTTCTGTTTGAGATAACTAGTTTTGAGAATATCAAAAATATACAATGCACAAGACCATAGCTTTCGAGAGTAAATCTACAAAATGTAATCAGTTTTTATGGGTTACTGATATTATTGGTATAAAATGCCTGCGTCATAGTCTTGACGGTTGAGCATCACAATTGGATTAAGTCAAAAAATAGTTGCAGTGGATGAAAGATATTATTCCGTTCAAATTGCTCGAAAATTACTACTGTCTCGTCTTTTTCTTCGAGCCACCGTTCTTCACCAAGCCGTCTTGCCCAATTTTTCTATTTGGACAAAACTTTACCGATCAGGGTGTTTGATTGGACAAACTGTTAGAACCCTGCAAAATGTCGTTCTTAATTATATTGTAAGTTTCAATAGCATCATACAAAATACATAGTGTACCGAAGTAGAAAATTTGCTTTCAATATATTCAGATAAATTGTTGTTTTTGCAGATAAACTGGTGGGAGAGTAATTTGGTCGGATGTGGCTATGCTAAATGCGGAACAACCAATTATCATGTTTGTAATTATGCTCCTGCGTAAGTTGTTTTTAGAGGAATATAACCGTTTTATTATTAGCTTTTACAATTGATATATAGCTCAATATTGGCTATCTATATCTTTTCAGAATGATAATCTTAGATAAAGTTTCCCAGAATTAAATAAAAAAAAAACGCCACATATGACGTCATCGGTAGTTATTTCCCGAGAGAATGTTGATTGCGCTTTTACTGTTATTAAGCTGTAGATTGACCATAAAATACATCCGATTTTTATTTTGGAAAGTCATGCGGATGGCTTAGATTCAGCTGTATTAGATGGGTTAAGCATATATAAACGATTGCATCATAAGGAATAGAAAACCTCTTTACAATCATTTTTTAAAATGAAATTTTTGGTGTCCAGAGGTTTTATGAAAATGGCTGTCAAAATATAAGCGTTAGGCCCTGTATGTTTTTATATACATGTATTTATATTGTAGTGGTAATGAAAGAGGTAAAACTAACAAACCTTATAAACTAGGAGAACCATGCGCAGATTGTCCCAATAATTGTGATCCAAATGGCAAATTATGTGGTAAGTTAGTTAGTGTGATTTCCAATTTGGCTGTTTGCAATCCTATGACCCTCACATCCCCAAAACGTTATTTTTCTTTTTTCTAACCCTTGTAACCACAAAAAAGTATGGCTGTATTGTAACCTTATTTGTGAGAAATTTTTCTTAAAAAAAATCATTTCATCGTTCGATCTAGTTATTTATTGATAAAGACGTTTTGTTTTTGGTGAAATACTATGAAATTTTTATTTTTTTTTTATTTAAAAAACCGCAGCTTATTTCAGATGAAAGATATTAAATATAATAGGGGAGGTTTTTAAAGTGATTTCAGTGATAAATATGTGTTCTTGAATAAGCTCATCTTTGAGATAATGTTGTTTGAGTTATTGCCCTTGATTGTTATTTTTTATTTATATAAATAAAGATTTATTTATATAAATAAAGATAACCTGATATTTATTGCTGTCATGGAAGTGTGTAACACTTTACATGTTGTATTATTATTATTATTATTATTATTGTTATTTCAGTTTGTGACAATACATGCTGGCACGGAACCAAAATGTCTGTTTCAGAGTGTAAATGTGACTGTATAAACCAACTAGCCTTTATTACGAACAGCTGCAAACGTAGGTTTCTTTTTTAACGTACATTATTCCTTCTTCACACACAAGGCTTTCGATGATCAATACTCAATTTCTGCTATCCATTTAACATTATAGACTTTAAATCTGAAATTTCCGTTAATTACCAAAATCGTTCCATTGTTTATATCTATCCGGTGTAGTATTTCCGGCGTTTTCATAAAATCGTTTAAATTTACAATTATTGTATTATTTGCCAATGTATATAATGGACTGAAAGTGACGGAACATGTTACGTATGCTAGAAATTGAGATTATCCAATTAAAGAAACGGCTTTACCTCTTTAACTGTATCGTTTCAGTTGATTGTAATGTAGCAAATGATGACAGTTTTTGTGATGTAATCGGTGATGATTGTGATAGTATATTTATGTATTGTCCTATCAAATGCAAAATGTGTCCAGGTACGTCATACAATCTTTTTTTACTTGATTTTCGTGAATTTGGATTTTTCGTTCCACGACCTGTTTGGTAGCAATCAATAGAATATTATTCATATTTCTAAGTGCACACGATACTTCGCTATTGAAAACAACCAAATACATTTTACGTGTAGATAATAAACACATCACCTTTCCATATGTTCGAATTACTATAACTCTGACATATTTCCATTTCCAGCTGCTGATTATAGAAACGTAGAGAAGGAAGAACCAAACTGCGATGGTATATAACAGCCCCAGTCATCCTACTGATATTTATATTTTGTTTTTTTTAAGTAGCTTTTCTACGTGTGTTTATGGATACCTTTTCACGTTACTTTGCTTCTGATGATCATATCAAAATTGTATTCTTTTAAATACAAAAAACTGGGTTTTAGTGCCGAATCTTTCTGAATAATATTGGAGGCGATTTTCACCCACGTGCACCTGATTTAAAAGGGATTGGGGTTCAGGTTACCTGGCGATGCACAGCATCTCGTTAGATGTCTAGCAAAAAATTCTCGCAGATGCCAGCAGTTGCTAGTTGCAGTTGTCGAAAATCCAGATTCTGTAATCTGCAATTCTGTAAAATCGAAATTTATAATTTTTTGGATGTAACTAAAACTGTTTTATTCTTTTCTTAACCAGAAAATTGAATTCTTCTTGAATACATGCCCGTCATCAGTTCTTTACTTCTTGGAGAAGGGCAAACATCCAATCGAGGTTGGGGGCGTGTCATCAAGGCAACGAATGCGCATAGCGGAAGGGGGGGGGGGGTTGATCTGGCGATTTGCGTAGCGGTTTCACGCCGCGTAAAACTTGTAAGAGTACGTCTGAATTTTCGTATTCGTTCAACGAATTACTGAAGGATCGCCCATGATGACTGATGTAATGACAAAGGTACCACTAAATAAGGGTTAAAGCTTGTTCCAAGCTATGGTTTCCGCAAATGAAATGAAAGATCACTTCGTTGCGCACCTTTTCAACACAAAATGTATGGCAGGGGGGACGTGGCAAAAACCTACTGCTGTGTAGAAATGTCTAATTCAAAACACAAATGTAACACGATGCAATACCAAACACCTCATACGTCTAATGCAAAAGACAAAATACATGAAACCTCTTATAAAAATATATATAACCTCTTATGCACAATTAATTTTACAATCTGACACATCGCCCATAAGCATTAGATGACATAATTATCTCGTTAATATTAGTTACATTTCTCCACTGAATTATCTTTATTTAGGTCATTGTCAAGGTCGAAGTATTTTCTAATCGACACAATAATTTCTCCCAAACTAAGGGGGTAACTCTTGTTGGGTTATAGTAAAAATGGCCCCAAGTCAAAATGTCCCAAAAGTCAAAATAGCTTTACTTGATGTTTTTAAACAATCTTGTTTTGAAAATATTTGTATTTCCCCAAAAGGACTGATATATCAACATCTTATCTCAAATTTCGATCTTCAATTTTATTTAAATAAACCAATCAAGTACAGATACATTCAACATATTGCTAAATTAAGATTATTAGCACATAATTTAAATATTGAAACTGGAAGATTTAAAAAGATTGAAAGAAAAGATAGAAAATGTAAACTTTGCAACCTGTCAGAAATAGAAAACGAATATCACCAATTGATCTGAATACTAGGGTAGCTAGTGGAGCTGAGTTTGCTTATACATGTCAGAACTGCAGTGTTCCGTATGGAAACTATTCAATTAGTATAGAATCGTCAATGGAAAGGTACTATTTTTAATACTCATACAACAATTTGTTGTAAAATAAATAGATTGTATTTTATTACTTAATAATAATTATTACAATCCTTAGAAATTTTTTTATTCAACACCTTGTCCTTGAGTTTTAAAAACACAGGTGATATATGCTCTCTATAGGTAAAAATGATAGTGACATTAACCTTCTTATGAAATTTGCTTATGGGTCTTTTTGTCTGTATAGATTCTAAAAATATAAAAATATATTCTTTTTAACTACTTTATCATTGATAGTTAGTGAAGATGACGATAGGGTTATATATGTATTAATAAGACATACCTGCAAACTCAGTTCTTGACACTTTTTGCAAATTGCCTGTGTAAGGTATTGGAGTCTTCGTGATATCACAATTCATCCAATTCTTTATTTCTTTGAGACAATATGCTCATCATAAACGCTGGTTTATCATGTGACAAGACAAATGGAAGCGGGCCATGTACGATACATGTACCATTTAGTATGGTGTAATATGATGACTATATATTAATTTATCTATTTAAAATTTAAAAACCTGTGGTTGACCTTTTTAACTTTATCAAATACAGTCAAATATTCATCATTTTTGCACCAATGGCTTCATTTTTAAGTTGTCTTTCAGCTTCAAATACAACCCAAAGAAAGCCTAAGAATCTGTAAAATACTACTTTCATTACAGGAGTTGCACCCCCTTCCTTTCTATTTATTCAATCTGGAACCACACTTCATAAACTAACATCATCCAGGGATGCCTTCTCATGGACCTCTGTTTTAACATTAACAGTATTAGCTGTCTTTATTACCTGTTTTCTTCAAGAGACGACCCAAAAAAATAATTAGTCTTCCATTTTTTATCCGATTTTTATGATTTTGGTGTCTGTTAAAATCTTGTAACCTTTGTTGGAACGGAATTTTGAATTTCGAATTTAATTTTTTTTTATATTCGTTTGAATTTTTTGAAAATTCAAAAGGCCACACCATGTGACCTTGACCTTCGATGACCTTGAAAATTTCACTGTAGGATGTTCTTGACCTCAGCTATCCACAGGTGTACTCATATTGGTTGAAAAATATTAACTTCTGGTTTAATAGCCATTCAAAAATTAACATTTTTGACAACCTTGGACGGCTGTATGACCATTTCTAATAAACACAGAAAATTATTTTTTTCAATTTTGTAATTCCCTTTTGATTATCTTGTCAATGATATATGACAATAATCCATTAAAATATGTTTTAAAAATATTGGGTTTTTTTTTGACTGAGGGTTCTAACTTACAATGTAATTAACTCCTAGCAATACGGTTTGTATATTCCGGATCTACTCAATTTTCTCTTTTCAACGATATGTAACATGGTTGATTTAATACAAAATTGAATTTGTGAAAATAGGCATTAAAGTGTTAAATGTTTATACAAAATGTGATAAAAATCTGTAGATTGTGGGGATTAAAATGATTGACAGGTGTTATAACAGGTTATATGATATGATAGGAAAGCTATCCATATGAACTTTTGACATGCATGTGTGAAGTAGTTTGGGTCATAAACAGATTAATCTGATTATGTAAACTTTTAACACTTAAAAAAATAACTTTTTTTTTTCAATTTGTTTTTTTCAATTTTCAGTTACAATAATTTAACATACACTCATATAGAGTAGTGAATTTTTGATACATTAGTCTGTTCGAATTTTTTCTGTACCATTAATAGAACTCTATCTGCAAGATACACACAACAGTTTTGGTTATTGGTGTTAGGGTAAATTGAGACGAGTCTCAATGAAAGCACTGGCCTAGGTCACAGAGCAATAGATAAGTCTATTAATTATGTAAAAATTAGTTAGTCATTAGTATGATTTTAGTTAAAAAGACACACACACAAACATACACTGTATGTTATATAATATACTGCATATAGCCATGGCACCAGTCCTGAAATAAGTATTCCCTGAAATCTAACTTAGGAATCGATTAATTTATTGATAGAACATGATACATTTATATTAAGAAATCTATGCTCCTAGGGTGAATGGACATTGTTCAATGGTTCAAGTCTACCGTGAAAGAGGAAATTGCTAAGATTTTGATTTCTGTTGTAAGCTACAACCAAACGTTTTGTGTATACA